TAATTGCTTATACTGAAAATTGCAGCATACGTTGCTAAATCTTTTCCATATATATTTCATTCAAAATTCGCACAAAGATGTGCTCCCAGGACACATTCGTATATATTTTCATGTACATTATAAAACATTAACTCATGGGACTCGGAAAGAAAGGCTAATGCTAAGCTATAGGTGAAGGGAGTTTAAGGCGCATCTGAGAAGTGGCGCCATCTTGCTGTATACATTTGTACTGAAAAGTCGTTCTATTCTTAACTTTCGTAAGTTATTACAACGCACAGTTCGGTGTTTTAAGCCCCTTTTCAGAAATTACAAATAATTTAATTAGATGGAATAATTGCTATCACAATAGATCTTTATTTAAAAGAATGATCTAATGTAAAGTAAAAAAATTAATGTACAAAAAAAAGACGGAATACATGATAGCAATTATATTGAATCTTATTAAATTATTTGTATGGCCCTGAAAAGGGCCTTTTTTTTTTTTTTTACTTTTAACAAATTATGATTTTAAGCTCTCTCTCCTCGAATTACGACGGGCCAGCTGAATGTCTTTAGGCATGATGGTGACTCTCTTGGCGTGAATGGCGCACAAGTTGGTATCTTCGAACAATCCTACGAGGTAAGCTTCGCTGGCTTCCTGAAGAGCCATAACTGCCGAGCTCTGAAATCGGAGATCGGTCTTAAAATCTTGAGCAATTTCTCTAACTAAGCGCTGGAAAGGCAATTTGCGGATAAGCAATTCCGTTGATTTCTGATAACGACGAATTTCTCTCAGAGCAACAGTACCTGGTCTGTAACGATGAGGTTTTTTAACACCTCCGGTTGCTGGTGCGCTTTTACGTGCAGCTTTGGTGGCCAGCTGCTTCCTAGGAGCTTTACCTCCGGTACTTTTCCTTGCAGTCTGCTTTGTACGAGCCATATCGAGAGGGCCGCGATTTCGTTAAAACGAGAAAATGTGCCCGCGAAATTTAGACCTGGCCTATTTATCAATTTTGTTTCCAATCACGTGACTAAGGAGACCTATTGCAGACGAAAGATTTCTAAGCGCCACCTAGCATTATTGTATAACATTAAAGTAACTCAGAAATTTGATTCATTTCTCTGCAAAACTGTGAGCGAGATGGCTGAAGAAGAAACTGCTACTGTTTCCGCTACCCCTGTGGCTGCTACGCCAAAAAAGGCGAAGAAAAGTCCGAGTAAGAAACCGAAAGCGTTGCCGTCGCATCCTAAGGTTTCAGCAATGGTCGTGGAGGCTATTTCTAGTTTGAAGGAACGCGGTGGCTCATCTCTGCAAGCTATTAAGAAGCATATTGCATCACATCACAAGGTAGATATTGACCGTTTGACACCTTTCATCAAGAAATACTTAAAGAGTGCTGTAGCGGGTGGAAGCCTGGTTCAGACAAAAGGAAAAGGAGCTACCGGTTCATTTAAAGTTAAGCGCATCCGGTCAGAAAGGTAAAGAGTCAGGAAAGCAAGAAAAGAAGCCTAAAAAAGCAGCTGCATCATCAGCCAAGAAGGCTAAACCAGCTGCTAAGAAACCAGCTAAGGCTAAAGAAGAGAAAAAGAAACCTGCCGCTAAGAAAGTTGAGTGTTAAAAAAGGCGAGTAAAGCAAAAAGCCCGAAGAAAGCGGTAAAGGCAGCGAAACCTAAGCCTCCTAAAGCGAAAAAAACTTAAAGCTGCTAAAAAGGCGACACCAAAGAAAAGCAAGAAGTAAGGGATTGTGTATTGAAATGTACAAATGAAAAAAAAAAAAAAAAAAAAAGGCTCTTTTCAGAGCCATACAAATTTTAAAAAAGAAATGCCTTTATTGCTCCTGAAGAAGAGAGTCCTATGTGTGACTACTCTAGATATTGATACTTTTTTTAAGACTTAAAGTGGGATTTTTTTTTAAGTTTAAAATGTTGTATTTAATTTGTAATCTTGTTGTGAAATTTTAAAATTACAGCTCTTTTTTTTTTTTTTAATTTAGAGACATAGAAGCAATTAACTTTAGAATTCAAATACATATATAGAACATTAAATGCTAATTTTAATTGGACTGAAATGTGACTCAAGAGAAAAGCATGAGGTGAAATTATATGACAGCAATAAAGGCATTTCTAAATTTTAAGATTTGTATGGCCCTGAAAAGGGCCTTTTTTTTTTTTTTTAAAGAGCAGGGTGTGGGGAAAGTAGAGGTCTCTAACCACCAAATCCGTAAAGTGTACGTCCCTGTCTCTTTAACGCATAAACGACATCCATGGCAGTGACAGTTTTCCTTTTTGCATGCTCAGTATAGGTAACTGCATCTCGAATAACATTTTCCAAGAAAACTTTAAGTACTCCTCTTGTCTCCTCATAGATGAGGCCCGAGATACGCTTTACACCGCCACGTCTTGCCAAACGCCTAATTGCAGGTTTGGTGATTCCTTGGATGTTATCTCTTAACACTTTGCGATGCCTTTTTGCACCCCCTTTGCCAAGACCTTTACCACCTTTCCCACGGCCAGACATTTTCTGCTAGGTCAAATTCTACGAACGTAACTTTCAAGAGTAAATTCAGATATACTGCGGGAACCACAGACGCGCGCATTTTTATGCTTTTTGTCACGTGACGAAATTAGTGTCTGTTCCGACCAATAAGGAGAAATTATTAGGAGGAGTGATAGAATTACAAACAATTAATGTCATTTCCATCCCTGTCTATGCTCCCTAGAATATTTCCCTAGTTCTTTTAACAGTTTTCTATAATACTTACGGTATTATAATCCAAAAGAGTTCTGAAGTACATGAAATTTTATTCCTGCAAGATGAACTAACTCCGCCCACACAACAGGGAAAAAAATACTGTAATAATCGTAGAATATATTAAAATTTCGGTCGTTGTCGAAGCCCTAGAGAAAGCTACTCAAACACTGTGTTGATTCATAATTAAGGAATTTGAGTTCACTATACATATATTAAAATATTGTATATTTAAGTAGAGACAAAATATGAAATACCGCTGTCATCGTAAATGTAGCATGTGTAAACTACGTGGTATTGAATATAAAGGCAATGCCAATGTTATTTACATCTACGTTATTATATACTTATATTAGGGGAAGAGGTATGATAAAGTAAGGTTCTTCCCTTTTTTATTTTAAGAATTTTTAATATACAGTGAAGAACTTTTAAGTTTTATTTATATTTACCTTATTTTCTGCACAATATACAAGCTTGCATTTCTTCAATTCTAATATAAGTACAGGTTTCCTATAATATAAAGACAAAAAAAAAAAGGTATTTTAAATAATTATTATTACTATGGAAGCATAAAAATTTGCAAGGGGACAAAAATATGTCAACAGCACGCGGTGTTCCCAGGTGGTCACCCTCCCAAGTACTGACCGCGCCCGATGCTGCTTGACTTCGGTGATCGGACGAGAACCGGTACTTTCAGCATGGTATGGCCGTTGACGCTTACAAATAGCGAAATAAACAATAAGTAACCCAAAATTCGAAGTTTTAGAGTATTACTTGATTTTGTGCACATCTGTCATATACTTTTATTAATAAGAGGGGTTTTATTGTCATAAGTACTTCCCTATTGGAAAAGAGATTTCCCACCCCCCAAGGGAAGAACAAGAAAAAAAAAAAAAAAAATCAATAAATTAGAAATTTAAAAAAATGTGGCTCGTAAAACTATAATCCACAATATCAGTAATATGAAATTGTAATAACAATAATTTGTATATATATGTATTATAATGAACCTTTTCTGTCCAAGATAGGCTGTATTAGAACGTTTCTCATTGGATGGAAATGAAAAGAATGAAATTCAATAAATATGCTGCATCCAATGTGCCTTTTTTTGGATTTTCGTTCATTCGCAGACTCTTAAAAAATGCCTCCTCAAGCATCTGGGAAAGCTGTAAAGAAGGCCGGAAAGGCACAGAAAGCTGTCCGAGCTGGTGACAAGAAAAAGAGGAAGAAGCGCAGGAAGGAATCTTTCGCTATTTACATCTACAAAGTTTTGAAACAAGTTCACCCTGACACTGGCATCTCGAGTAAGGCTATGTCTATCATGAATTCATTCGTTAATGACATCTTCGAAAGAATTGCAGCTGAATCTTCTCGCTTAGCTCATTACAATAAGAGGAGTACTATCACTAGCCGAGAAATACAAACTGCAGTACGTCTATTGTTGCCTGGTGAACTGGCAAAACATGCTGTTTCGGAAGGAACCAAAGCTGTCACCAAGTACACCAGCTCTAAGTAAATTTTCAAAGCTTTACCCATCAAAAAAGGCCCTTTTCAGGGCCAGAATATGATAAAGGTTAGCTGTTACCTGCTTATCCTTAAATCACTCATTGTTCAATTTATAATTTCATATTGGCATTTTTAAAATTAATTCACACTCTTTGCAAAAGAAATTCGATCATATATATTTCAGCTCTACAAGTCATCATCTTTATCCTCATTGCTCTGCATCCAATTTCTTATCTTCAAAATGAGGATCTAATACACACACAATAACCGAATAAGGAAAAATTGTACTTTAGCAGTTAGTCCCAGCTCACTTATATACACACACTGCTTTCCGGAAATCAGCCTTAATACATTTCAATGCAGGTGGTTTTTCATAAGTTTGCTATTTATCAAAATGTATGCATATCAGTGTCATAGTTTTCAGGTGTACGTATCACGAATCGTTTCACTAGCTCAGTCACAGCCTTTCTCCGAGTAACTGGAACGAAAACATTCAACGGTATGCAAAGCATAGCAAGTGCTGGCGGGACAGGAAACTGGCTAGCCTGCCCAGACGGGACAGTGGTTAGCGAAGCTAACTGCCGGGCCGGAAGGCCCGGGTTCGAATCCCAAAGGGGGGCAGGAAGGAAGGAAGGTAGGGGGTGGGGTGGGGATATCATCTGGATGAAATTTCTTCTCCGCAAATAAATCATATTTTTTTAATTAAAAAAAATTTAATTAAATATTTAAAAAATTCAGCTTTTGCCGGTTTATAAATTAATAAACTATGATGCATCACAAAATGCTATCTTTCTGTCACTGCTTTGCTTTCATAAATCCTCGCATGTTTCGCAAACGGTTTGACCACAGCCTTTCTCCGAGCCTATCGAAAGAATACATTCAACAAAGGTAAGATATAAGGAACATTTCATTCTCTTCGTGGCCACATTTATAATTTATAGACTTATTTTTCACATTTGCCGCATTAGAAAATACAGTCGTTTCCTCAGTTTCAGAACATATCATTTCCTTCGTTGCCACATTTATAATTTGTGGACTTACTTGTCGCATTAGAAAATACATTCGTCTCCTCATCGACTTCAAAAACTTTTCATTCACTTCGCTATCGCATTAGAAAATACAGTCGTTTCCTCAGTTTTTCATTGATTCTACAACTTAATACAAATGTGACATTTCTGAAACCATTTTTCATTAAAAAAAAAACCATATTTAAACATTTTTATTCATTAAAAAGTACATATTTTGACAACATTTCATACAACACGAACATTGACATTTCATGCCACAAATCCGATATTTCATACCACAAACAATAAAAAAAGAAACCGCTACCTATACTAAAAATAATATTTTAACAACATACAAATAGGTCACATTTCATTTCTCTCTCTCTCTAAAGTGGAAATTGGGTTATGGTTATTACTCAAATGCGAACCGATAATGATCACATCAATGAATCATCCTGCTGAATCCGCTCAGAACATGTATGTAATATGATTAATAAGACTACTCAGTTTTTCATGTGTTCAATATTTTCAGTGTAATGCAGTTTCAGTCCATAACATTTATCTTTCATGATCCAAAATTACAGTTGTATCTTTCAACATGCATACCTTCAAAGGCACATTGATGCACTATGAAATAAATACAAACATTTTTTCATATACACAGCAAAGTATTCACATGTACATACATAGTAAAGTATTCAGGGTTTTCATATACATTGCAAATACGAAGTATACAAATAAAGATGACATCAAATAAATATTTTTAACATAAAAAAATATTTGAATACAAATGAAATACAAATACATAGCATGAAGATGCACTATATTAAGTGGAAGACTTCACCAAGCATTTAGAATTATGGGATATTATTTTTTTCACAAAACAATTCTTATTATAAACAATAAACATTTACACAACAGGAAAAAAAAATTACAAGACATTTCATACGAAAAACCTGGTTAGGCAAAACATAAACAATGAACACTAAGAAGGAAAAAAATTGTTTTGGCAAATTTCTTTCATCATACAAATATTCATATTACTTATAGACAGCTATTAATATTCATATTACTTATTACAAATTCGAAAATATAATCTTAAATGAACTTACCTTCCAATAAAAACTATATTCTTTAGTTCAATATCCTACATTTGGTTGGAATTAAAACATCAAACATCACATGCACCATCTTGCTACACCTTGTCTGACCTTGATCTGACCACTTTATCAGCTGAGGGGTCACTTCAGGACAATAGCATTGTTTTGAGGAATGAATTCTATTGGATGTTTCCCACCCACAAACAGATATTGAGGGATATTGTATTTCAATAGCTATTTATAGACAGTGTAAGTGGCAACAGTTTTATTTCCTCACTAAATGCCAACAGAGAGTGATGATTAAAGTGCATTCCTGCAATATGTTTTGATTCTGTGTTATATTATGTGTGACTTGATTTAGTGTAGAAATAAAATGTATAAAACCTTTTGTTTGTCTTTTTTTTCCCAACATTTATGTAACTAAGTATTTTCAATGAAAGACAGCCATACCTATAGCAACTTACTTGGATAGTTATTTATGTTTAAAGAATTTAAATATATATATGCAGATTTGCTGCAGCACAGCATTTCTTCTAATCAGTAGGGGTATAGCTTCTCTGAAAAGTTATTGTTTTAACATTTCGTAAATTGGCTAATGCATTGACAGGATTACTTAAAATTTATGAATTATTAATTTCAGTATCTGATCTTTGTGAACATTTAGTTCTAAATTACTTACTTTGCGTCTTTACTGATAATTTTTCAGCAGCTAAATGCACGAAAATACTAGGCGTGTGTGATATGAATTGAAGAACTACCAAGTTCAGTCAAGTAATCAGTGTACACACACATCAGAAACTTAACAATATTTATTCAATGAATACTACTTCACTGTTCCGAAAAATAGAGTTCAATAAATTAACTGAGAAATAAATTTAAGAGATTTCATATAAAACAAATTCTGCCAAACTACCTCAGTGCAAGGCAAAAAATATAGGCAATTGAAGAAGATGGAAAACAAAAAAAAAAAAAAAAAAAGAAGATTGCATTATGTTTTCTTTTCTAAAGCTCAATAACTGTTAAAAATGTCAAGAAATCAACTACGTTTTCGGTATGTACAGCACTTACAGCTTCTTTAGGGATTTTGGTTGTAACCGAGAAGGGTTTGAAGTGGATAAGATGTTCCCCTGACTGGCTAATAGGTAGATTTCGCTTCGGGTATCTTGGATGCAACCTATCTTGGATGCAACCTTGGATAGAACACTAAATTGGAATTGAAGGAGTTCTTAAATTCTCTTTTG